TTAATGGGATGCGCCTCGAGGGCTGAGGCTGAGCTGGCCGAGGGGGAGCAGCTCCGTCACACTGGTCCAAGCTAAAACACCGGGGAACAGGGGGTCCCCAGAGCTGCGGGATGCAGGAGCCACCCCCGCGGCTCAGGAGTGCTCCGGCAGGAAGCTGCTGAGAGTCAGGTTGTCTCCATCGGGCTCGGAGCTGCCGTCGGGCAGCAGCAGCTTGTGCCGCCGGGCCGGGACAGGCCGGGGCCCGGCGGCCGCCTCGGCGTCGGGCAGGAGCGAGGAGATACAAACCATCTCGGTGCGGCTGAACCGGCGCTGCCCCGAGCGCGCCCGCCGCCACAGCAGCGTCCCCAGCACCCCCGTGCACACCAGGAAGGTGGCGGCCACCAGCCCCAGCAGCAGGATGGCCAGCAGGCACTTGCTCATCATCATCCCGCTGGGCTCCCAGGGCACCGCGGTGGCCTCCGGCGTGGTGTCCCAAGAGGCCGGGAGGGTCGCTGCAGGCGGAGCCCCGTATTTCTTGGGGCTCTTGTAGCCCGTGGTGGTGAGGACGAAGGCTGGAGGGGCTGTTGAGCGTGGCCCCGCGGAGGAGCGGCTGTCCAGGCCATCAGTCACTGTGCCCTCCTCCATGGGGGACGTGAGCCAGCTGCGGGTGGTGGTGGCGATGCTCTTTTGGGGCTCTGAGCCTGGCAGCGGATCGGGAGCAGGGGAATCGGTCTCGTCCATGGGATCAGCTGTGCTTGGGACCACGGGTGCACGGCTGGCCTTGGTGCTGGGTGCTGGGGGTGGGGCAGAGCTCAGGAGCAGGTCGGGATGATGGGGATGTGTCTCATCCGTGGGATCAGCTGTGGTGGGCACCTGGAGCAGGCTGGTGCTGGGCGCTGTTGGTTCCACAGAGTCCTCCAGTAAATCGGGTTTAGGGGAATCTGTCTCATCCATAGGCTCGGCTGTGGTGGACACTACAGGCACCCGGAGCAGGCTGGTGTTTGTGCTGGGCTCTGGTGCTGCAGAGCTCAGGAGCATCTCAGGCTCGGGGGAATCATCCAAAGGCTCGGCCGCGGTTGGCACAGGGAGCAGCCCGGCCTCGGTGCCGGGTGCTGGCGGCACAGAGACACCATCGCTCCTGTCACTGCTGAGCATCGCCCTGACACCGAGCCCCTGCCCGCTGTCATCCCTCTTCCCACGGGAGAGGGGCAGGGGCTCGGCCGCCCCCCAGACCCACTGCCCGTCCCGGGGCAGCCCCGGCCCCAGCAGCTCAGCCCCGCACGCCCGCAGGGGGCTCAGCAGCAGCAGCAGCAGCGCGGCCCGGCCCAGCGCCATGGGACCTGCAGGGGACAGAAAGGGCAGGTGACATCGGGGTCCTGCTCCTCGCAGCATGGAACTGCCCCAACTCCAGCCGAGGATCCTCCACCCCCTCTGGAGAGGG